CTATCCCCGCCCACCGTTCAGGGTGCCTCCTGACTGCATTGGTCTCTTGCTCCAGGAAGTCGTGGCTTACAGCTGCCCCATCACGTTCATTGCACGATTGTTGCTGGGCCGATTTTGATCAAATTTCTCTCTCCTCCCACCCACTCCAGACCTCAGGGTGTATGCCTAGCACAAACAGGTACCCAACACGTATTCGTTGAGGAAAGGGATGATCTTATTTGAATCTCACAGCAACCCTGTGAAGCCAGCCTCACTCCCATTGTACAGATAAGAAAGCGAGGTCCAGAGGGAGGGGGCTGGGCCAGGTCCTTGTGACTTGTGGACACAGCCAAGCCTAGGTCATCCTGGTCCTCACACCCATCCTGGACACTAGGATGTGGAGGAGCAGGTGATGGCTGAGAGAAGGGGCCTCAGTCAGCCGGGGGCGTGCAGCCTCCCCAAACCCTCCCCTGTTCTGATTGGAATCCTCAACCATGGCCTGTCCCTGCCCTCTCCTGCCCAGGGCACAGTGCAGGAGGCCAAGGAGGTTGGGAGGGAAGAAAGAGAAGTCCCCAGACGTGAATGGCAGTCCCCGTGGTGGTGTATCCCGAACCAGGGCGGGACATCAGAGCTCCATGCCCCACCCATAGGCTCTACTTCACCCGAGAAGGGGCCCGGGGGGGCAGAGAGCTTTGATATTCACGTGAGTTTCCAGTGCCAGCCAGCCCTAACTCAGCAAGTGCTTGGGTATTCATTGTTTTCTTTAACTTTGGTTGCGAGGGAGCACAAGATCAAGATAGAACACGCTCCAAAGCAGGTGATTTGGGTCCAAATCCACCTTGGTCCCCCCAGCTCTCCACCCAACTTTGGCTATGTGACTTCACTTTTTTTTTTTTTTTCCTATAGGTCATGTGTGTTCATCGGAGAGAGACAAAGAGACAGGAGAGGGAAAGTGAGAAATCACTCCCCACCAGGAGTGATTCTCCTCCATTCTCCATGCACACGAGCTCAAGGTGTTTATCAAGCCACTGGGTCCACGTAGTCAGCCATGTGGGATCCAATGCTTTAACCTCCACGCCATCTGCCGACCTGTGATGTCACCTTTTGGGGCCTGAATTTACCCACCTATAAAAAGGGGTGATGATAACAGAACCTACCCTACAGGGCCATGATGGGGCTTGGATATTCCAAGGAAAATTCCTCATGGAGAGCTGGGCATGGAAAAAGGCATAGTGAGCAGATGGGAGACTGTGAGCAGGCCCTTTCCTCACAGGATTTTAGAGGCCCTGCTGTTATCCCTGTAAGGGGCAGAAGTGGGACTTGGGCACGTTTCCCTGCAAAGCCAGAGGGGTGTACCTGTAACCCAGGTTACCTCAGGTAGCCCTGCATGCCGGGCCCTGTGTTAGGGGCCACACAGACATAAAACTCAAGTGGAAATGGGTCAATCTTCCAGGATGACTTACGGTCATCTCAGACATTGCTTCATAAGGAATGCTTCAGGTCTGAAGCCTCTGAACCCCATTCTAAGAACCCCAGGAGCTGAGGTGGAGCTGGAGAAGGACTGAGCTAGGTGTTGAAGATCCTCGATTGCAAGCTGAGCAATACACAGTATTCTCAGTGTACTGGGGAGCCACTGAAAGCTCCAGGCAGGGGGAAGTGATGTGATAGCAGGCCAGGAAGAAGCAGGAGGCTGCTGGGATCTTCTAGGCAAAAGATGAAACTGGGCTGGGAGGGTGGGTGCTGGAGGGCCAGGCTGGATGTCCTGCTTCCCTTCCTGCCCATTGGGATGTGACGCCTTTGGGTGCAGGCTCTCTGGCCCCAGGGAGGATAGCTGCAGTTGAGGATGGCAGATCTGCCTACCAGCAAAATTTCACAGTAGATGAGAGACACACTTAACCCCTGAATCTGGGGCATTTTGTTACAGTGGCTTAACCTGTACCCTCATTCCCTATGTGGGCTCAGACAAGACAATTCACTTCTTTTTTTTTTGGAGAGGCTTTTGCTAGAGGGCGCGTGCGCTTGCCAGACAGACATAGAGACAGAAAGAGAGAAACCACCCCCCAGGGGGGATGGCCACGCCACAATCCCTTCTCCTCCATTCTCCTCTCGGGATCTTGGGCTCGTACGCACACGCACCCGGCGTGAGTTTAAGCCACCGGGTCCGGGACGCGAACCGCGGTTGACTACGTGGGAGTCCAGCGACATAGCCATTACGCTAACTGCTGGTCCCGACAATTCACTTCTTGAGCCTCAGTTTGCACATCTGTAAAATGAGGGCAACCCAAGAACCATCTGGGATTCTGTGAGATGATGTGTGGAGCTCACAGCTGAGGCCGGTGATTCCACCCAAGTCTCCCTGGCTGACCCCAGGTAGACATCACTCCTAAGTCCACACTGAGCTGAGGGCGAGGCCTTTTTCTCTTCCTCCTCCTTTCTTCCCCAGTGGCACCTGGCTCAGGGCAGTGGACATAATAGGCCCTTGACACAACAGGATCTGGACGATTTTCTTTCTTTTTTTTTTTCCTTTTTTTTTTTTTTTTTAAAGGTTTTTTTGCCGCAGGGTGCGTGTACTCGCTGGAAAGAGGGAGAGAGAGACAGCGAGGGAAAGTAAAGTGAGAAATCGTCTCCTAGCGGAGATGGCCACGCTGCAATCCCTTTTCCTCCATTCTCCTCTCAGGACTTTGGGCACACACATGCACATGCCCGGAGTGATTTCCAAGCTGCCGGGTCTAGGACTTGAACTGTGGTTGGTCAGGGGGAGTCCAGTACCTTAACCGCTCCTCAACCTGCTGCCCCTCCAAGGACCTGGATGACTTTCAGACAGAGTGATCAGTGACTCCACGCCCGCCTTTTATAGATAGGGAAACTAAGGTCTAGAGAAGGGCAGGGACTTGTCCCAGCTCCACAGCGAGGCAGGCCCAGTCCTTGGGCCTTGGGGTGGGGGGCAGGACTCCGATGTTAGTGCTCAGAGGCACATACTCCCACCCCAGCCCGCTCACTGAGCTCCAGCCGCTCCGACCTCCAGAGTTTCTGAGATCAGCCAGCTTGCGCCCACCGCAGGGCCTTACACCTGCTGCCCCTCTAGAGGCCTGTCTTTTCACAGCTCTTCACCTGCGGCCTCTTTCTCACCTGGTCAATCCTCAGCTTAACTCTCACCTCTTCAGAGGGTCTTCCCTGAGCCCCCTGAGTGGATCCTCTGTAATTCTTTCATTTCTGCCTCCTGCTTTTGTCTTCATTTGCAATATGTTAATTAAGTTGTTAATTTTGTATTTTAAACTGAAAAATAAAAAATCATAATTGACTGTGCATGTGTGTGAGAGAGAGAGGAACGTCCTTCCCGGGGCTCAGTCACACTGGAATCTGCCCCCTCTCCCCATCCTCCAGTGTGGCAGCACCCTGGCAGGCACAAATGCACCCAGGGTGCTGCCAAGCTCACTGGGCTGGGGACTTGCACCGTGGTGGGCACGTGGCTTCCAACTCTGCAGTCCAGCTTAAGACTGGGCCTTTTAAACTAGTTTTTAAAAATCTGGTGTTGGCGTCTCCCCACCTAGCCTGTCAGCTCTGTGACTAAGGACTGCAGGGTTTCTTGTTCACTGCTTTGTCTCATCGCCTGGCCAGGCCTTGCCCAGGCAGGATCCTAATGTGTCAGGTGAGCGAATGAGTGCATGCAGGAGTAAGGAAATATGTGAACGCATGTGCCGGGCCTGCGTGGCCACCGTCACACCAACCTCTCATGACTTCCCTGGGAACAAGAGTCCAGTCTCTCCAATTTGCAGACAAGACAAGGGAGGCTCAGAGAGGTCTCACGAGGCAGGACACAAATACGTCCAACGCTGGAAGCTTCCTGCCTGCCCTGGGAACGCACGAGCGGCTCCGCTGCACACACACTAAGTAGCATGAGGACGCCCGAACTAAGACTGGGCACGGCCTGGACCAGACCTTGTTTTCTGAAGGGCTGATCCATTAGGAGATGCTGTGCTGGCCATGCCGGGCAGCGCTGTTCACTTTTAGAATTCTTTCTTTGCTGGAACTGATGGGATAGGGGAGGGCCCTGTCTTGGACGTGAGCCCCTGGTGGCTGGAGCCATCTTGTCCAATAAGACCTGGGCTGAGAATGACATCAATGGTAGGACTGGGGGGTGGAGGGGCCATCATCTAAGCTGGATCTAACCATGCCTGAACCTACCCGCAGACTTCCCAGGTTACACGAGTCAATCCATTCCTTAAGACAAGAGTTTGCATCCTGTGAGCCCTGGCATGGCAGAGAAGGAAGGAGCAGTATTTAAGGACAGGTGACTAAGCGTAACCCCACCAGCTCCCTGGCCTTTTTAGGAAACTGGAGCACACAAGGGACTTGGGCCTTCACCCTCCCGGAAGAGTCGCACCCCCAGGGCTCATGGCTCTGCCCTCATCTCCTCTCCAGCATCAGCAGGTCTGCAGAAACCAGTGCTGTGGACACAGAAACGGGGCAGTGGGGGGAACCAGCAGTTAGCGTAATGGCTATGTCGCTGGACTCCCATGTAGTCGACCACGGTTCGCGTCCCGGACCCGGTGGCTTAAAACTCACGCCGGGCGCGTTTGCGTGCGTGCCCAAGATCCCAAGAGGAGAATGGAGGAGAAGGGATTGCGGCGTGACCATCCC